TTCACCCTGACAGCAGGAGCTGCTGCCTGCCAAAGCAAAGTCCCGATGCTCCCGTCCAGAACACAGTGCTGCTTGGTGTTCAGGGAGGACGTGTACATGACTCTATTTGTGGGAGCCTGTGTTCAGACTGAAAATTCAGGACTCACATGTTAGAAAGGAGCCATGTGGCATGATTGAAAGATCACATTCTTGGGAGGCCGGAGATCTGGAGCATAGTCCCTGCTCATAGGATCAAAGACTGAGGCTTGAAATGGATCTCAGTTCTGATGCTAATTGGCTAGCACCTGGCTTAGCATAGGCTAGCCTTAACCTCTGGGCCTCTGGCTTCTTATTTGCCCTCTCTTTTGAAAACATATAAAAATGCTCATTAGAACACAAGCTTTTCCGGAGCTGAGATTGGTGAATTCTTTGTATTTGTGTCTCCACTACCTAACAACTTATATGGAACACAGTAGGTGCTTAATAAATGCTTGTTGACTGGACCAATAAAAATGAAAATAAGAGAAACCTTGGTTCTGACTTGGTTTGCACAGGCCCATCTCCCAGGAGATTATCTAGGGTCACCACCACAGATAAGCAACAAAAATGATAAATTTCAAAGCTTCCTTCTCTACAGGAGAAGACTAATTTTGATCAGAAGAATTTTACAAAGTGCATAGCTCAGGAAGAGGTGGGCTTTAACCAATGTGATGGACATAAGGAATATAGAGGCAGGAGAGAGGAAGACAGAAGACAGGACAATTCAAAACAATAGTTTTAAGGTTCACAAAGCACTGCCCAAATGTTATCTGATTTGATCCTCACAACAACCTGGAAGGGTAGGTGCTACTATCTTCATTTTACAGATAAGGCAGATAGAGGTTAAATGACTTGCCCAGGGTCACACAGCTAGCAAGAGTCTGGAACTGAGTTCAAACTCAGGTCTATCCTGAAGGGGTCAGGAAGTTCTATTTGCTATGCCACCTAGCTGCCTGTTTAATATTCTAATTTGTAGAATATTAGTGCTGAAATGAGCCTTATGTGTTATCTGATCCTTTTACAGATAGGGAAACTGAGGCCCAGAAAGATTAAGTGTATTGCCCATTATCAGAAAAACTGGGACTGGGACTCAGATTGCAGGTTTATTATTCTTTTCACTCCCTGCCTCCCATGTTCTGCATGTTTGCTAAAGCTTTCTTCAGTCCTTCTATATCAGGTGCTCTTCACCTGGGGTCCACCAGCCCCTATGCAGCCCACAGATAACTTTCAGAGGGTTTGGGAACTTGCATGGGGGGAAAACTGACATCTTTATTTTTGCTAACCTTTTACTGAAATTTAGTATTTGCATCAATTATGAATTTTTTAAAAACCTTATTCTGAGAAGGGGTCCATGGGCTTCACCAGACTGCCAAAAGGGTCCAGGACACAAGAAAGATTAAGAACCTTTACTCTAGATAGAATAGAATACTATGCACACTACTACCACCCTCCCCCCCACACACATTTATTGACATCACAACGGAATGTGGGTGCTGCATCCTGATGAAATCCTAGTCACAGCTTAGCAGGTGAGCTTTCATGTATTGTTTTGCCTTTCAGAAGGCCTGGTTAACACATGTAGATAAAACCTGGTACTGGTTAACAAGCTTGCTTTGTTAGATGAGAGAGGGTCCATTAGATGCAGGATGATAGCCAGCCTCTGCCAACTGTACTTGGCTGGGTTGTAGCTTTCATAGTACACTCCCCTGAAAATCCGCCAGGCTGATAAAGTGATCAGAGGCCTTGCTGAGCCTCGTCTTCTAGCAGGGGCTAATGCAAAGGCCTCTCTCCTCTTCCCTGCTCCCAGGACTGGTACAAGCCCTGCCTCCAGAGGTAGAACTAATTAGAGTACCCAGTTTTGCCTGGTAGAGTGCCTGGTGAGTACGGTGGCCTATGTGCTGTGGTGAGGGGGCACCCAGAACCCCCTCTAATTTCCCATCTCTTCTCCACCAAACCACAATTATTGAGATTCATTCCTTGGAGTTCCAAGATCAAGCTCAAGGGGCCTCCTTTTACATTCAAGTCCTCCTGGGAAGAGTTACAAACTTCACTGTTGTCAATCACTGACACTTTGGTTTGGTTTAGAGGTACTGAGAACTTCCCAAGGGAAATGGGACATAGAGGCCCTGAGGAAATGAGAGTTTTGCTGAAAGTATGATTCTTATGATTCACCTCCACCCCCTTTAGGATCCTTTATTTCCTTCAAGGCTTAGCTCAAGGATCACCTTCTGAGTCTCTCCTGTTCCTCTGCTAGTGCCTTCCATCCCCACCCTTAAAGGCACCTGTTGTCTCCCTTGGCTAGATTGTAAGCCTCTTGAGGGCAGGGACTGTTTTACACCTATAAGCCTGGTCCTTAATAAGTGCACAATGTATGATTAGGGAAACCTAGAGAGGGTAAGCCTGGGTAAGCTTATTCTAATTGGAAGGGAAGGAAGTGAGTACTACGGAAGCAAGCAGGCATCAGGAAAGGGGAAAAAATACAAAAAGGTGAACTTGGGGAGGGGTGTCAAAGTCAAACTTTTATTAATAGCATTTACATATGTTTACTTAATGAAACGTACAGGTACTTTGCTGACATTTTATTAAGAGCATATACACAGCACTTTACACATCACTGTTGAGTGCTTTGCACATTTGATTTAAGCTGGATCCTCACAAGAGGCCTGTGAGGTAGGTTTTAATTATTATCCCCATTAAGAGAGATGAAGTGATTTGCTCAGGATTACACAGCTGGTGTCTGCGGCAGGATTTAAACTCGGGTCTTTCTGACGCCAGGGCCATTGTTTCCTCTCTTTCCCTGGACTCCACCACCATTCTGGTGAGGAGCTGACCTCGCCTAGAAGCCATCATTCCCCCAGTGCCTCAATGCCCCTTCAGGTGGGTGAAAGCCACGTGGTCCACTCATGGTATTATCTTCTCCTCCCTCTAGGCGAGAGACCCTTTGCCTGCAGCTGGCAGGACTGCAGTAAGAAATTCGCCCGGTCCGATGAGCTCGCCCGGCACTACCGCACCCACACAGGGGAGAAGAAGTTCAGCTGCCCCATTTGTGAGAAGCGTTTCATGCGCAGTGACCACCTGACCAAACACGCCCGCCGCCACGCCAACTTCCACCCTAGCATGCTCCAGCGGCGAAGTGGGAGTAGCTCCAGGACGGGATCGGTCAGTGACTACAGCCGCTCGGACGCCAGCAGCCCCACCATCAGCCCTGCCAGCTCGCCCTGAATCTCCCTGGCCCGGGCAACCGCAAAACCTACCATGCACTCTGTGGAGTCTGACTTGTGTTGCACACGTCTACAACTCTTTTGCTTGTTGTTGCTGTTTAATTTTTGGAGGGGGGACGGGGGGGGGCGGGGGAAATAGTTCAGTTATAGCTTGCAGTCTCGGCAAATACTTGTCGCCTCCTCCTGTGGGTGGCTGAACTAATCTTACCAATGGACGGATTTAATTCATTTCCCGTACCTAAATATTCCTTTTGTTTTATAGCCATATGCTTCTTGTTAACCTATATTTTTTTTTTAAAGAGAAAAACATTTTTTAAAAGCCAACAACAACAACAAACTTTTCTTCACCTCAGGTGTCAAAGCAGATTTGTAAAAAAAAAAAAAAAGAAAAAAAGAAAAAAAAAGAAAAAGAAAAAAGAAAAAAAGAAAAAGAAAAGAAAGAAATGAAAAAAATAAAAAAAAAACAAATTGCACAATAGAAACAACCACGTGATTAAAATTCAACTATGTTGAACTCTTCCCCACCCCCCACCCCTTCCCCTTTCTCAGGGATGGATATTTATGTTACACAATAAGTACAGTGAAGACACACCCTTACTGCAGCCTTACTCTGTAAATAGATTTGCACTCAGAAGTTTTATGTTAGATTCTTTCACACACTGGGGAAAAAGACAGACAATAATAATGATAATTATAATAATAAAAGAAACAAGGACTGGAAGCTAGTGCTTGACTGGTCAGTTTCATAATGGAAATGCGTTCTTTCGTTTTATGTTAACATGCGGGACCAAACTCAGAGGTCTGGGAGCTATAGCCTGTTTAGGAAAAAGCGCTGCTCTGGTTTTGCTTCCGGCTCTCCCCAACCCCTACCCCGTCCCCAGTCCCTTGCCACCTCCACTCCCTTACCCCTACTCCCAATCACCAGCCCATTGCTTCTGAGTGCCGAGTCTCTAACCCTGGTTATTTCTTCAAGATGGGATCCCACTTCCAATTACAGAAACAAAAAGCAAATTCTCCCCATTCAAGGCCCAAGTTGAAGGCACTTATGCCTTACGGAGATCCCCCAAAGTGATGCCTTAAGCCTGATTGGCAAACGGAAGAAAAGCCACAGCTATGCTAAGGCCCCCACTTATACTAAGAGATGGCATCAACCTCCACAAAGAGGCAGCCTCTCCTTCTATAGTTATTCTTGTCCCTGGGGACCCTTTTTTCCCAAGTGGTAGAGCTCAAAGCATTCTCTCTCCACTGAATTAGCAGGAAATGCTAAAGCCCTATCACTGAGACCAACTTTCCCCCTTTGTTGAAGTGCTGAGGAAGCAGAATGTGGAAGAAGTCCTTTGCTGGCCCCTCTTCCCCTGCCCCCACACGGAGTCTTATTAAGGTACTTACCTACTGCGCCCCTGGAAGCCACTGAGATACCGAACTTGCACAACACAGGAAGTTCCTCTACCCCCTTGCAACATAACTGTGGTGAATGGTAAAAGCAAAAGGAACCTTTTATTATAATAACATGTACTCTGACTGGAAAAATAAAATATACCTATTTTTTTTAAGTGTCAAAAAGTGTTATTAGCTCATCTATGGTTCAAAAATCTCCACTGATTCTTAAGTAAGAAAATGGGAATTTGAAGGGGTAAGTTTTAACTATCGGGGCATTTTACCAGGTGTGCCATATATATGTATGTAGAATGCATATCTATAATCATGCACAATATGCTGCACAATTTGCATTCTATTGCAAGAGACTGGAACATTGTGACTTGGAGACATTTTTTCATGGGTAAAGTGAACTGATCTATCAAAAATGCTGGCAGAACAAGCTACAAACCTCACCCCTTCCTCCAGCCTTTCCCACAAGTTGCTGTACAAAGCATTACAGGGATTTTCCCCCTTGCCACTTTGGGGTGGGAGGAGGGAGGAAGATCCATCCTTATATCCCTGGGTCCTTTTCCCACAGTCAGGGTCAGCCTCAATCAAAATTGATCTTTGGTGACCATTTCACATCCCCTTTCCTTGATTGTATTCTCTGTTCTCAACACCCCTTCATTCCCTCTTCCCAACTCCAAGACAAGTAATTCTTCAAAAGTTACACCTAACGTTGTAGAAACCCTCGACTTCTGTTATTTTTCAGAATACACTTCACTTTGCCTGGGAACAAATGACCATCAAGTTATATGCAATGGCCTGAGTTATTAAGTCCTTTTGGTTCATCTGGGTTAGTTCAGAGGCAGTTTCTTGAACTGGGGTGGGTCCTTTGGACCTCTGTTTTGCATTTTAATTTCATGTTACTATAAGAATGGAAATGCCATAGAGCTAAGCATAGCAAAGAAATTACAACCAACCAACATATATAGATATGTGTGTATGTACACACACACACACACACACACACACACACAGAGTACCCTGATCTGCTGTTTGTCATCAAGCAAATGCCTCCACATTCCGAAGGAATTTCAATTCCTCTCTCATTTTGCTGCTTTGCACTGTTCCAATTTGCCAGTTTCTAATTTTGTACTGTATGTTAACTGTGATAGGCTAATAATATGTTAGAGGTTTCTGAGTAGTGTAATAGGTACTTGCATTTAACAGTTGCGTTGTTCATAATGTCTTGCACTGTTTCAGTTGTGTGGTGGGTGGCTACCTAAGCCAGGTTGAAGCATAGCTGTTCCAGTCTTTAAATAGATACATACACACACACATATATATATGGGTATATATGTATATGTGTATGTATGTGTATATATATATATATACATATATATAGTTGCAACTGTCACTTGGCTTCATTTTTATTTAATTATTTTCATTCATTTAGGTTGACCCTTTTGTTGAAAATGAGGGTCCAGTAAGAGAAGGAATATAAAGTGTTTATAGAACAATAAGGAAAGACAAGCTTGTGGGATTATGGTGTATTTTACCTAACTGGTTGTCTCAAAGTCTGTGGTCAGGTGTCCCTGAAGGGCAAATTTATCATGTTTTCCAAAGTTGTTGCTGTGCTTTTCAGGAAAGCTGATGTTTTGGATAGATTTCAAATATCAGGAATTCACATTTCAGGCTTAGGGGTACTTATCCCAAAGTCTTTTGGTGTGGTGGTCACTGATGTGGCCCCACGTATAAAGCAGGGAGGGAGATGAATGCTTCAGGATTTTTTGGTTTTGTTTTTTCTATACCAAGTGCACATGCTTCTAATGCCATACACAGAGGGGCCCGTAAGTGATTTTTTCTGGTTATCATGTTGTGATAGCTGAGCTGTGTTTTCAGATCCCACATCTGCATATATATAGGAAAAAATAATAAAGGGAACTCTTAGGATAATAAACTTGTTTTATTAGTGGAATAAAAGATGGGAGAGGGAGAGAAGGAAGATTAGCTATTCCCAAAGAAAGCACTTTGTTTCCTTTTAATTTAGTTGCAGGACCTGAATCTAGGTCCGTTCTGTCCACTAGATGGAAGGGCAACATTGCCTTAATATAGGATTCTACTGTATCATGGAAGCCTGAACACAGTAAGGTGGCATTCGCCATTGCTGGGAAAGGAAACCAGCATTGTCTTCATTGTCTTGATTCCTAAAGTGATTTTGATTACATTTGATAAAATGAAATGGGGGTAATGCCCTAGAAGTGAGCTATCAGGACTATTGTTGATGTCTGAGACACAGTTATGGAACTACTATTTGCTGGCAGGTTGCAGGGACTACTTTCCATTGTCTCACCTTAATCTTTGGGGGATTTAAATTTTGTCTCATTGGCAAGATTTGGGCTGTGTGCAAATACAATTTTCCCATCAGAAGGCCATTTCACTAGAAGAATTTGGGAGGCAATTTGTGTGGCCTATAGTATGTCTTTAAAAAAGGGAATGCAATTTAAAAAAAATTAGAAAGCCTTATTAACTCCAGCCTCAGTTGAAAAACGAGAGCACAGCCTCTGTTCACACAACAGGAAATTCACCTGAAACAAATAGCCATGTTTTGTTTTGTTTTCCAGTCCAAAATATGCCAGCCAGACATTTGGGGTTCTTCCACTTTTTGTGTGTTTGGCAACCACCTCAGGTGTCTGTGGGTCTAGGTATTTATAAAATGGACACCTCAAAATTATAAGAAATTTAGATCTCAGAGAAGATTTAAACTCTATCAATGTAAGGAGGAATGAAGAATTTAAAGGGAGCTTGCCCCACAAGAATTTCAGCTGACCTTTCCTGGACCAAAGTGGTGCTGATCCATATCTAAATATTTTTTCCAGCTAGGCCTCTGAAACTTTGAAGCTCACCTCAAATTCCTAGACACACTCTATAGATAAGACACACTCTTATCTTCTGGGAAAACCGTTTAATTCCCCTAATGCTTCCTGAATCCCAAACAGCCATAAAGATAAAAACATGGATCAACACAGTCATCATTACAAAGGGCTTTGAGATCGATCCTCTTTTTGAAAGGTGCTATGTAAATGCAAAGTATCAGATTACTCCAACATATAGTCTCTATTATGTTAATCTTAAACTCCCAGAGCGTGACTTCAGGCTTCCAAACACCACGGTGGACAGATACTGCATTTTGATATATTGGTCTCCCATGTGAGTCTTGACATTGGTCCAATACATCAGAAGGAAGAATCTGATCCCCTCTCCAGTTCTTAGGAAAAATTCTTTTGTCTGGTAAGCAGAGGCAGTTGGAACAGTTTGGTTTTATAGCTTTAAGCATCCACTAACAAATGGTTTTTGCCATCCCATCAGTGAAGCTAAGATTTGAGTTTGAAAGTATGTTATGGGACAGGGAGTTAAGTATACAGTTCAGAATGGCTTTTCCCTGCTCTTTAGCCTGAGGCAGGAGGCAAGTATCACCATTGAATGTTGTCCACTTAAACAAACCCTCTATCTCCAAGAACAATAGCAACAATTCATGCCAGCTATTATAGTGATGCTGTCACCAGGGTGGGTAATGCATTTTGTGACTTCTCATTGATGGAACTTTGAGAGATTGCTAGTCAGTTATTGTTGTGGTCGAGCTATGAACTCACACCTAACTAGTTTGGTTGATTTGTTTCCATGGAATCCAGGCAGTTGTCACAAAGAGTCAAGATAAAAGGCCTTTATTTCTTATTGCAACCAATGAGGAAAAGTAGAAAGATGATAGAGATGACTTAGATCAGTGGTGTCAAACTCTAATAGAAAAGAAGGGGCCACTAAACTGTACATAAAGATCCAGGGGGTGATGTGTTGACTTCAAAAACTACATATTAACATTATCTATGTTCTATTGTATTTTTATTTATTTTGTTAAATATTTCCCAATTAGATTTTACTCGGGTTCATCACTGGGCTGCATAGTTGACACCTCTGACTTAGATCATCCTGTATGTTTTGCTATCCAAAGACTTAAACCATACATATATATTGTATATATATCATATGTACATATGTACATATATACATATATATTGATATGAATAGTTTTCCTGACACTGGGACCCACTGACACTGGATTTTGGTGGCTTGTCCTGGAGACATTCTAGTGGATTTCTCACTTGGTTTCTGTTAAGAAATCTAACCTACTATATTGATGGCAGCATAACCTAATTGAGAGAGGTAGCTATTTATTTTGTGGAGTACAAACTGAGGTTTCTTAGATGATTTACTTTATTATTGTTTATATTCCAAGTTAGTATAAAGAGTTTTATTTGACAGGAGATTTGAATCTTGGGTCTACTGAAGTTAGAAATGCCAGATTGTATAGGCTTCCTATTATCACCCCAAATTATCAGGCCATATTACTGACTGTGTTTTCTCCAATATGGCTTTAAAATCCTTTAATTAAAACAAAAAAAAAAATAGACACCCTTCTCCACCCCTTATTGCAGAAAGTAGTCTGTATAGTGTGAATAGCTTTCTTGCCCTATCTACCCCACCACCACCACTTCTTTCATTCCCATTTCATCTTGGAGGAGATATTAATGTCAGGAAAACAAAAACAATGGTAAGAACTCTGCTTTATGATTTGGAAATGAAATTTGCTAGATGATTTCTGAAGAATTCGGACCCTGCCTATTAAAATGTGCCCCTTTCTTCTCAGAACTTGAGAGACTTATTAGCCAACTTGCCCTTGAACTACATTTCCATCCCATATTACTCTATGAAAGAAAGTGAATGGGATCAGTTTCCCAGGGCATGACACAAGCTAAGACTCTATCTGGGGTTGGGATGGGAATGAGGAACTGAAGTCTAAAAATTTACTCTTTTTGGTGCTTTTGAGAAGCTGGATTTTCCTTGCTTTCAGTCACTGCCACCTTGTACAGTCAAAAAACGTATTTGTGGCCAAGGGTTTTGGTGGGAATGGGAACAAGGGTCAGGGGGATTGTATTCATATGTGTGGCAGAGCAGAAAGAATTTTCTTACCATTACCATCTGTGATTTTGTAAAATTACTTGGCACAGAGTTTCCCAACATCATGGATAGAGCAATCAGGAGAAAGTCTCTATTAAACAGCTTATACTTGGTTCTGAGTTTGGGAGTGGGGAGTCACATCTTAATCTGTGAGTGTACAGACAGCCTTATTTAT